CCAAACGATTTCAGTTTCATAAAAAATTTTGATGCCGTTTCACAGTGTGAAGATGACACCGAAAATGTCATTTTTTTCAGTTAAACCACCCATCTCTATTTCGCAGATACTTAAATTTTGTACATGTTTGATTTTGATATCAATGATTTGTAATTTGCATTTAGGGCTCATCTTTTGATTAACAACCATGTACTCAGTCTTTTTGTGGTTGATAGCAGTTGATGTTTAATCCTTTCATTTCTGTAAGAGCTTTTTTTAGTTTTCTTTCCTTGTCTGTTACCAACACTGTGTCATCTGCATCTTTTATGTTGTAAAGATTATGGCTGCCAATAATGAATCCAAACAGGACTTCTAATTCTTTTAGAATCTCCTCGCTGTATAGGTTGAATAAGTCCGGTGAGAAGACACATCCTTGTCTTATGCCCATTTCTTTTTTTGTATAACTGCTGAGCTCATTTTCTATCTGTATGTAGGTGATTTGCTGCCAGTATAGTTTATTGATTATTCTAATATCCTTCCCAAATATGTCAAGGTTGCTGAGCAGTTCTAACAGATCTTGGTGGTGTACTTTATCATGTCTATAAAACACAGGTACATGTCTTTATGCATTTGTTTTGCTCTTTCTGATAACATTCTGAGCATAAATACCGTGTTCCTTATTCCATACTGTTCTTGTCTTATTTCTGGTCTAATTCTCCTGCATACTCTAGTCATCAGAATATGGATGATTAGTTTTGTTATGTGGCTCATTAGGCTGATTGTCTGATAGAGTTCACATTTGTTTGCACCTGATTTCTTAGGCAGTGCTATAAAAATAGATCTACTTAGCTCTTCTGGTATATTACCACCATTGTAGATTTCGTTTATTATTTCTGTGATCTTGTCTCTACCAAAATCATCTAAGACTGCCAGCAGCTCTAATACAATTCCATCTGACTCTACCATTTTGTTTCCATTCAATTTCGCCAGTGCTGATTCCACATCAGATTTTAATATTTCCGGTCCATCAATATTTCTGTGTATTGCTGGTTGCCCTTTTTCATCCTGGAAGAGTCCTCTAATATATTTTTCCATCTCTTGAAGTATTTTTTCTTTCTCTAGTACCAGCGTTCTAATATCAGCGTTTTATGCATCCTGTTGATAATTGAGTCTGTTGTCCTATTAAGTTTTTTTGTTTTGTTTTTTATTCATATCTGCTTTATTTATTATATTCTTTCAATTTCTGTAGATTTTTCCTTGAGTCATTCCTCTTTAGCCTGCCTGCATTTGTTCCTTATTTCTTTGTGTAGTGTCCTATATTCTGCTCCATGTCTTGGCATTGTTTTTTGTTTCCTTTCCATCATGTTGAGAATTTCATCCGTTATCCATTCATTTCTTTTTTCTTTGTCTATTTTCCTTTTTCAAGTATCCATTTTTATGTTGTCTCTTGTATTTGCTTTTCACACTGTCAATATATTTCCTCTTCGGGTCGTTCAAGAGTCTGTCATATTGCAATTTGGGTGCTGCCTTAGCCCTCTTCAATTTCTGTAGTTTCATTCTAAGTTTACATACCACTGGAAGGTGATCACTTCCACAGTCGGCACTTGGATAGGTTTTGCAACATACAACTGCATTCGTGAATCTCTTGTTGGTAGTTATGTAGTCAGTTTAGTTTTTTGTTTCTCCTCCTGGGCTTCTCTATGTCCATATTCATTTTGAGTGTTCTTGTTGGCTACTGCCTGATCATTCACTGGACACAATTGGACCCATTTTTCTCTGTGTTCATTATAGGTTCCCAATCCAAATTTGCTAACTATTCCAACATCCTTCTCGTTGCCTACTTTGGCATTCAGGTGTCCCATGACAATTATAATTTCTTGTGATTTGCATTGAATCTTGGCATTGTCTAGCATCAAGTAGAACTTTTCTTATGAACTTTGTGCTGTTGGGGCATACACAACTATGATGGATATGTTAAAAGGCTTTCCTTTCAGTTCAAGAATTCTTTAACATAATTAGCAGTATCCTAAAACATATTTCTTCATGTCTTGGTCTAATATCAATCCTACTCCTCTTTCATTTTTATCTCCACCTGCATATATAATCCTGTGTTTTTCACTGACAAAATCTCTATTGTTTGGCCATTTCTTTTCACATATGCTTAAAATATTGATATTTAACCCGCTCATTTCCTGTTTTATATTTTTCAACTGGCTACAGTTATTTAATGTATTAGCATTCCTTGTCCTAAGAATTATTTTTTTTTTGATCTGAACAGTCACTGGATGACAGTCAGATGATACCTGTCATTCATTATCTTCCCTTACCAGACTGAGGGATCAATTCCAAAGAGTTTGGCCCCATTTATGCTAACAGTTGCCGGATGATGGTCAGTTGATACCTGTTTGCATATCAGTCCTTACCGAGCAAGAAGTTAATTCCAATAGATTTAACCACGCTTCGTGCCATTAGGTTTCATATTTTGTCTGTTAAATGCCATGATATTTCTTGGGATTGATAGTGAAGTGGTTTCTCGTGGCCTTCTCTCTGGTGATTTATTAAGACACCACCTCTAATTAGCTGGTTGTTCACTCATTAAGAGTTCTTCCCACCTACCATAGGTCTTAGTTTTCATCATACAGGGTTGCTAAACACCCACTGCACTTGCAAAAGCTTTGAATAGGTTAGTCAGTTTAGTTACAGACCATCATATTATATTTGTGTGTGTATAAACTTATCTTGAACTGTTCGGTTTAACTCTCTTCCTACGGGCAGGAGGAACCCGAAGGAGGCTACGCCGAAGGGCGGAGTCTCCTTCGGGGAGGTAAAACCGGCCCTGAACCCGTTTATACGGGTTCAAATGGGCTATTTTTTGGCCGAGCCTAATGGCTCGGGAATTGCCCACGTTAAAAAGGCCTTGTGCCACATGACACCCTCGTGGGGGGGTGACTGAATATCGTTAAACTTATCTTGACGTTTGAGTTAATAGTGAAAGAAGGTTTCATTCTTTAATATTCAGTTGCTGACAAAAGTTTCCTGCCTAGTATTCAGAAACTTGCAATTTTTTTTTCCCTTTCTTCTAGGCCCTTATTTCAGCTGTGGCGATAGGGCAGAGGCATATCTATGTATGTAAATTATTTCATTTATTTGTTCTTATTAAGTTTTAACTTAATAGGAGGTATCATGACTTATACTAACACAAAAACAAACAGAAAATTAATTTAATCTTGTCACAGCAATTTTTTGGGGGGGGCGGGCACTTACTTTAAGGTAAGATATTTAAATGAGATTCTTTAACAGAATTTGTCTACACTGAAATGAGTAAGTCAGATTGCAAATATCATGCCTGAACATGAAAGTCATATAACCTAGGATTTTAAGAGCTGCAGTTGTAGAATAATGGATTTAAATGGAACCAATTAAAAATATGAAGGAGATTTAAAAAATTAAAAATAGGAAGGAGATTTAAAAAATTAAAAATAGGAAGGTAATTTGTATGGTTTTTTCTGTAGTATTAGCTATATATAACACTTTCTGATTCATTACATACAAATGTGCTTAGGAGTGGCATGAATCTATCTCTTCTACCCCCATATATGGATTAAATAGTAGGACAGACTGGACTCTTGAACTTTGAGAAGCAATCAATCTATGAGAAGAAAACTGAATTCAAAACCATGGAGAAAGCTAAAAGAAACCATTCTATTATCGTCCACAAGAATCGTGTCAATTCATAGATAATTAAGAAAAGGAATCTGGAGAAGGCAACTGGAAACCACTCCACTATCTTTCCCAAGAAATCATGACAATTCACAGATAATAAAGAAAAGGAATCTGTGGAGAAGGCAATGGGAAACCACTCCACTATCTTTCCCAAGAAGTCATGGCAATTCACAGATAATTAAGAAAAGGAATCTGTGGAGAAGGCAACTGGAAACCACTCCACTATCTTTCACAAGAAATCATGGCAATTCACAGATAATAAAGGAATCTGTGGAGAGCCATGATCACTTATGAAGGTATATAACATTTTTAAAAATAAATAATTGCCTTAATAACTGATGACTCATAATTCCTTTCTTCATGATTTTTCAATGCTGTACTATAAATATATTTTGGTGGTGAATCTTGATATTGCAAAGACAAAAAAAAAATTTAAAAGATTGATGCTGACCCAGAGTTGTTTTTATTTCCCTGATGACAGAAATATTTAGATTGATTATTAATAAAGTTGAACAAGAGGAAGTTATGGAGTAGTGATAAAGTGAGTGGGTAGTGATAAAACCTGAAACCTTGCTTATATATCCCAGTTTCAAATGTAATCAGCATAATATTTGCAATTCTTACCATCTTCCAACTCATTTCCTGTCAGAATTTACTGTGCTAAATTAGTCCTTAGCCTCATGCATACCTATTAGATGAAATTTGATCTGATCTTCTCAATGTATAATGCTCAATCAATGTGATTTAATATTCATTGGTGATTCAAGAAAAGAGATTATTGAAAAATACTTATGTGAAATAAATGCTTCCCCTGCACTCCATCATTAGGATATGAATTTATTGATTTGCCTATGTATATCTATTCATATTTCTTTCAAATAAATGACCAACATCCAGATTAATATCTTTCATCTATAAAAGCTGAATTCCAAAGTGAAAATCCACTTTGTATTTGTTGTCACAAAAGGACATTCAAGTGAATTCTACGTAAATCTTATCTGTCTAAACTGTTCACTTGTCATAAAAAAAATGTTGAAAGCAATATCTGTGTTCCCAATTGAAACACTTTTTTTCTTTAAATAATTTGGATTCTCGGTAAAATAAATCGCACAATGTTTCATGTGGTTGAGAGTCCAATTAGTCAAGTTGGTTAGTTTTCTAGGATTTTCTTTTCTTAAGACATAAAGAAGTGTTAACAGTTATACAGAAGAAATTAAACTTGCAATGTTCAGCTACTTTGTTTTGGTTTTGATTTCTGTTCAGTACAAATATTTTCATAATTCTTTTGTCCCTTGCAGGAATGTCGAATCCATTCGTTATGGCCTCAAGAGTTTAAAAGCATCCAAGATGATGATGAAGCAATACTATTATCAGTGGATGTTACGTGAAGATGCTGATGCCTGTTTACTTCGACTCTTTGAATGCTTCATGGAGAGTGCTCCACAGATGACCCTCCAACTCTATCTGTTGGTCGATGACCCACCTGATGGCATAGGTTGGTATTTCTCAATTTTCACCATTTTTGAAAAGATCAAAGGCCGGTTAAATAGCAAATTACTTTGATGGTCCTGTTTTTGGCATGTATATTTGGAAATAAAGCCAATCAAATTGGTGAATGGAAGCAAAAGTTTTATGCCAACTTTTTCTTAAATGTTCTGAATCATCCATTTTTGGTGCTTTGCCAATGATACAAACATCATTAATAGAACTTATTCAACATATTTTTCTATTTAATTCTTACTTCATTAAATACGAAGTTTATGTTTTTCATTTTTGCTAGACTTTGTTTTCACAAGGTAAACAAGATAATTGCTGAAATTATTACAATGTTGGTAGACTGATTCACAGGGCCTGGAAAATTATAAATTTATTTCTCAGTTTTAAATTTCAGTTTTGAAAATTTTAATTTGACAAATTAATTGGAAAAGAACTCAAAATGATATTGTAAAATAAAAGATATTTATTTTAATATTCTGAATTTTGTAGAAAGTGGAGTCAAATGAATTTAAACCCTTGACCTTCTGCATGTAGAAGGTCAGCACTTAATATTGAACTATAGTTATTATTCATATAAAAATAATACTTTAAATATTATCAAATCCCATAGAATTGCCATTGGGTGATACACTGAGAATATAACATCTTTATCTATCTATCTACATACAGTGTTGGTGCTAGGGGCTCATGTCCCCCTCATTAAATCTATGATACAGGGTCCTCTTTCTACTATATGCCAATTTTCATAAAGTAGAATATAGATTGCAAATTTTACTGCAACCTCATAATATAAAATAATCATTACTCTAATATTATATCAGAAACAATATTGTGAATCATTTCTAATATGTGTAAAATGAAAAAAAAAAAAAACATTACCAATGGAACGAAATGAAAAGGAATACATTGATATAAATGCTTTTCTTTGTCACCTCCAAAGATTTTTCTATATGACCAACAAACAAGATAATTGTGTCTGGAGGTGCATTGATGATTTTCATAAGAAAACATTTGTACAAGTGCAGGAGAAGATGGCATAAGTGCTGAACTTATTGAGTATAGTCCAAAGTTTCTTTATTTGCTGATTGCTAATACATTCAGCATTATGGGAAAAAAATATAAAAGAATTTTAATTTTTTTTTTTAAAGGCTTTTTTTTAAATGCATTCAATTTATTTTTTCCGATTTCCAAAAGCACAATAGAATTAAATGTAAACATTAAACTATTTTAAGTGAAGAAAGAGCCAAAAAAACTGATGACATCTAATTGACTGCTATTTGCTATTATTTTAAAATTGTTTACATCCTTCTCGGTATTATGGTTAGAATTTATTAAATACATCAAAACTTTCATTTACTTTAATTCTAATTCACTCTAGTCAAGCAGCAAACACTAAATGTGAATAGAGGAAGTAAACAGGTACTAAAAGATTTAGTAAATTTAGTATATTATAGAAAATATCTCTAGTTAATCATTTGATATTTACCTGTCTTATGTTAGAAAACTTCTACATATATTCAACTTCAGAGGTCCATCTGGAGAATAAAAAAATATTGGGCCTTCTCACAAAAGAATCTGTATTAGCCTACATTTTGTGTAGATTGGTCTTTGTACAAGAAAATGAAAGTTGTTTTAAGCTAAAATTTGAACAGATTTCAGCACTCAATCTGTGTGTCATGCAATGAATAAATTAAGAAGAAATTCTTTGTCACTGCATATGAATTACAACAAGCATTCCCTATAATATTTTAATAATATTAGTGACTACAAGTATTTCACCTTTGTTTTTTATTAACCTTGAGAATACTTAAACAAAAGATCTCTACAATTTCCAAACAATAATTTAACTCTTTTGATAAGAGAATGAGATAAATGTCAAGAATCTCTCATTGATAATTGACCACCGTCTTCTGTCATACCAAAGTTTCTTAGCATTGGCTTTGATGACATGGTGAATAAGTTTAGTGACTCAGACAAAAGCTTTTTTCCCCAGATAACTAAAATGTCAAGAAAATCAGGACAATAAAACATACAAACTTGATATCTATACCCTGTGTTTGGTTGTTAGGTGAGATTGGTCGATTTTCTGACGTATCTACATTTGTTGAGTTATTTAATACTGAATTTTGTATTGGGCACCTGGTGAGGATTGAACCCACTACTCAGTCAACCAGACTAACCTCGCTATCTATCATCCAATAGCAATGTACCTCTGTGTATGGTGTGTGTGTGGGAGGAGGGGAAGAGAATGTGCACCTGTATTAGAAATCTCTTGAAAAACCTCTAGTGTTAAATACAGATGAGAGAAAACAAGATTAGGCTTATATCTATATATCTCCCAGTCATGTACAATGATAAATCTCTTTATCCTCTTTTTCAGTCTAATCCAAAGATCACTTTTCTGATTTTGAAAACAGTAACTGTTCTCTTTTTTTTTCTTACTTTCTTTCTTTTTTTCAAACCAAAATTGATTTCTGCTGTATTGATTTTTTGACAATAAGGTAGTATAATTATTTTCTTTCTAATTAGCAACTGTATAGTCAATGTTCTTTTGTTTTGTTTAAGACAAGATGAACTTAAAATACATGAGTGTCGGTGATCTCATACTTGTACTTTTAAAACCTAACTCAAAATTGTAGTGACCCACTCTTTTTCTGAGCAGCTTTACCAGATTGACTTTTGAAATTAAAATGTAATTAAACTTGGAATTTTGTGGGATTCTTTTAAAAATAAGCTGAGCTAACTTGAACTCATAAGTTAATTTGAAATATAATTAGCCCAATATTTAAAAATTTAGGGCTAAGTGGCAAACCTGATTCTCAGTCCCCTAATGTTTTAGGAAGTACAGTTTTGCTAGATCAGAGGTCATGGAACATTTTGTGTTAAATGATGCTATACAGTTGTCCCAATAATCTGGTGAGTCAAACATCAGATGGGGTCATTTTTGATTATTGCTAATGATAAAATTTTAGCCTCACAGCTGAGAACATGATTTCCTTATGTGTTTCTTGACTCTAATCTCTATTCAGTGATTGTTTTGAGATCATTTGGTAGTGCTTCTACCACTTTTCTATTGTTTTATTATATTAATGTCCTGGTTGCTTATGGGGCAGTAATTGCTCAGATTTATCGCAGCCATCAGTAGCTCCTCGGTGATGAACAGGTAGAAGTTTCAAATACCAAATTGTATAAAAGAGAATTCATTTTTCAGTTTTATTTTAGTGAACCAACCAATGGTGTCAGTTGTATTATGCCACTGGTTGATACCTAAAGCATTTTTGTATATCTGCAGGCTCTTTCGAGGATTGCCTTGCTTATTTTACTGATATTATCTTAGGATGGATTGCATAGTTGCTATTGTGGGTTGTGTGAGAAATCCTCTTTATGGTCCTTCTCTGCGATAAATGCTCACCATTTATGCAATTTATGGACTCTGTCATCTCTAGTACTGTTGCTTTTGTGTGTGGACATGAATGAGGTTGTGAATATCTGCAGTGAGACTGACATGGAACTTGATTTAATCTGTTTTCTGGGGCCATAATTTGTGATTTTATACCTTTTTTTCTAAGAAAATTGGCTCCAAAATTATATTATTTTATTTATTCCTAATTGGCCCTAAAAAATCACATAGTATGTCCGCACAATATTTTGGCAGTATCTACCTAAATCATGATGACTAATAAAATAACCTTTCAGATTTGTATTCTATGGTTTTTTATTGTACAGTTTAATTGGTGTTTTAGTATGTAAGCACTTTATTGCGTGTTATTGGTTTATAAATCTTATGTGTTTTAATGTTTATGTAATTATTGTTGGCTGTAAATGCTTCTCCAGTTTATGATTGGCTGGTGTCCGTGATAAATACCGACAGACATGTAGGAGAGTAAGAGCCTTAGTCTGAAAGTTAAGTCTATAAAGACGCCCATTGTACTACACCATTGATCTACACTTCTTACCTGCGACTACGACGCATACCAGTTAATTACTGCTACTATATTCTACTTGGTTATAGTAGCCAAAACCACTTAGCTACTTTGTTCAAATATATCCCTTTCCGGGACATATCACATAATTAGTTTTATTGTGTGAAATATATTGCATATTCTATTTGATATTTTAGTGGATACAACACTCTATTAGATCTGAAAAGCAATAAAAGGATAATCTTGTTTACACTAAAACTTTTGTTTCTTAATTCTAACCTTGCTTCTGCAAAGAAAGATTACTGATGGTTATCTTGACGACAGTTTCAAATCTAGTATTTGTTGAAATTCTATTCAGATTCAATATCCTGAGATGACCTGCAGATGTTGATGTACCGTTAAATGAAAAAAAAACTGAAGAGATTGGCTGAAACAGTGGAGGAATTTGGACAAAACACAAAGTATTAATGACTTCTCAATTATAGACAATTTATAAATATCTAAGTTTCTAGCTTAATAAGGAAAACAGAATTTATGTAGGTGCATCAATAAGTTTTAATTTAGTGGTAAATCAACATTATAGAATGAAAATTTCAGATCAAAATTAAATATAAGCCAGGTTTTATGATCCACCTTTGTATATCATCTTCTTGCTTGCCACCAGACATCAAATGATCATATCCTTATGTGTTAGTTTCACTCACCAGTCTGTCTGTTTACTTACCTTGTTCCCAAGGAGTCACTATTGAAGACATGCATTGAAATGTTACTATTTTCCACCTCACACGTTCTTCATTTTAATCTTTCTTGGTTTGGAACTTTTGAGATTTGCTTCAATTAAACTGGGATAAATATATTCATGTAAATCTCAGATAATCCTGGTGTTGAAGTCTAATGATTGGATTAACAATGGATTAGTTAAGATTTACATGACCAAATCCTTTCATTGTTCGGTCAAAGTTATGAATAGAAAATTAGAAGGTTGTCAAGAAAAAAAATAATTGTAAAAGTTGGTTTAAAATAATTCCAATGACTGCAATTAGTTTTATCATCATCATTATTATTATTATTATTA